TATATTAATATTATAAAATAAATTTATATTATTATATTTATATTATAATATAATTATTGTATAATATAGTAATATAAATTTATTTATATTGTAATAATATATATATATATATATATATATATAATAAAAATAATTTTATAATATTATGTATAATATAAATATATGTATATATTAATAATTTTAAATGCACTATTGAATGGATAATTGTTAAGTAAGAATATTAAATAAAAGACTTGGGGGAAAAAAACGCAAAATAGAAAGGAAAATTAAAATAAAATTATATGATTTACGTTTTATAATACTATTTGATCATCTAATAATAACATAAGTTATTTCAACAAGCAAGTTTTGACGTAACATGAAAATCACGTAGGTTGTTGAGCAATTTGAAAAGTAGATGAGATTTTCTCCCACGTACGGTTAAAAGGACGATTCGTGGGAGTCACTAGTAATTTTCATTCAGCCGAAAATTTCTCTTGCTTATGTCAGCATTACTTCATTATCGTTCACCGATCGTCTGATTATTCTCCTTAAGCTGTGGGTGTATTCTGTGATCTAGTGGCATGAATTGTAGATACTTTTTCAAGTGTAATAACAAAAAGATATAATAATTTTTTTTCACTATATATATTGTTACAAGATATTTATTAATATTTCAAGAATACATGAAACAAATAAAAAATAATGAAAAAATTCAAAAAAAAAAGATACAGGTTGATGAAGTGGGGGATTCCCCCCGAAAAAAACGGCAGGCTATGGTAACCACGATTACAACTCTCCTAGTAATCTGAAATAAAAAAAAGTAAACCAGCTGATTAATTTAGAATAATCTCGTTATCGTTGTAATTTAAAAAAAAAGGTTGAAAAAAATTTTGTTTTTCGATAAAAATTACGGCTGTCTGCAAAAAAAAAAAAAGATACATTATTTTTATTATCATTTGTTTTTCGACATTTTCGAATTTTTTCAAAATACTTGAAATTGAAAATTGTTGTAAGAATTTAATTATAGTACGATAGAAAAATGCATAGAGAAGATTTTCACCAAATTTCAAGTAAATCGGTTAAATAGAACTTGAGATATTATGGTTACCTTGAAAAAAAAAAAAAGAACACAGTTTCGAGAAAAACGCGTTTTAAGTTTCGCGCCTCTTCTAAATCATAAACTGATATTATATACTTACATTTATTCAATCGGCCATTCCTGTATAATACATGGAACCTTTTTCAATCTCAAAAAAAAGTAATTTTTATATTTCTCTCTTTCTATTTAGCTATTTTGGTTTCCTTTGATGCTTTAGATGTCTGTACCTCTGAGAGCTCAATTTGAACTTTGTCGCGTTTCATGGCGAATGAATAAACTTCCGGACCAATTGTGATTCCCATAAGTGTTATTATTTTTCAAATGGGAATAAAGCCTTCATTAATTCAATTATTTCCCGGCGTAAGATTCTAACTAACCTCTCACGAGATATCATCGTGATAATAGTGTTTGAAAGATATATTTTTTTTTTACATCACCAAATGAGTTGTATATATATACATATATATATATGTGTGTGTGTATAAGGGAACCGTTTATTTAGAAAGTGGCCTAACTCCATTTATGTACAAATTGATATATTTAAGGGATATAGAAATTGAATAGATTATTTAATTGATATGATATTAAAGACATTTCATTGAAATAAAAAATATACGTAAAAGATACTAACGAGTTATACTGTTTAACCAGTTAAGTGCGTTAGACGTGTATACACGTCGTATAAAATTAAAAATTAACATCTTAATATGTATAAATTACGTGTCACGTTGTTTGTCCGCAATGTACGCGTAAACTACTGAACCGATTTTAATGAAATTTTGCACAATGTGTGCAGTTTTATCCAACTTAAAAGATAGGATAGAAAGATATCTCAATTGATCTTATTAGTGTATCTCCAATCTATATCTTAGGTGTGTATGTGAGTGTGGTGTTATAATTTGAAAAGTATGAACGATTTAGAGGGCAAATTGTTGAAGGAAAAGGAGGACGCGAGGACACCCAGGGCCTTCCGAGTGGAAAGACGACAGCAAATGCGTCGTAGTAATTGTATAATGGCCGTGGTGTGTGTTCGAGTTGAGATACGAAGCCCTGGCCTGCTTTTTGCTCGAGGACTTTCACTCAACGTCTCTCTCTCTCTCTCTCTCTCTGTCTCTCTCTCTCTGTCTCTCTGTCTCTCTCTCTCTGTCTCTCTTTCTCTCTCTCTCTTTCTTTATCTATCTTTCATATATATATATCTTGTCTTCTTTATTCACTTTCCAACACCTATTTTTAGTGTTCATATTAAATTTTCTTTTCTCACGTTGTGAAATTTTGGAATTAATTTATATCACGTACAGTAAATGTTTATTATGATAAAATTGTTGTTATATATAATGTTGTTATTGTCGCTGTTGATTTTGTTGTTGCTGTTGAATTTATTCTCGATTGGATAATAGAAATATTGAAATAAATTTAAGTATTTTTAATCTAGGATTTTGATTAATTTATATTTAATTTATTTATATATGATTTTATTAAGATAAAATATCTTGTATATATTATTTTTTTTTTATTTGGTAAAATCTATTGTTATACACAATTTTTATAAGTAATCAATGCAACAAATATTTTTCAATTTTTTCTACATAATTACAAATATAATCTACTAATAAAATAATAATATATATAAATACTGTAATATTATAAATTTAAATATATAAAAATTTTAAAAATTAATTGTATTATATAAATTAATTAATTATTATATTATATAAATAATATATAAAATAAATAATATATAAAAATAAATTTATACATATAAATTTTTAAAATTAATTATTATATAAATTAATTAATGAATTAATATAAAATAATTATTAATAATTAATAAATTAAATATAAATATATTTATAATATAAATAGTATATTATAGTATAAGTAAATAATATAAATATTATATTACACAAAATATTTTATATATTTAACGTTTCAATATCATAGATATTAAATATAATATTGTATCTTGTATAAAATAATTATTGTATAATTATATATTATACAATATTTATTTTATACAAGATACAATACTATAATAATTATTTAATAAAATATTTTTTATCTCTCTCTCTCTCTCTCTCTCTCTCTCTCTCTCTCTCTCTCTCTCTATCTATCTATCTATCTATCTATTTATCTATCTATCTACCTACCTATCTATCTATATTATTAATTACTTCAGAATAATTATATTTATTATCAATGATATTTTAAGATTAAATATATGAAATATTTAGTAATAAATTTCTTATATAAATCCATAAAAAAGAAAAAGAGTTTATATGATCTGTAGGGATAGGTAGTTGTTCATGGAAGGATCTTGAACCCTTTCTATTTCAGAAACATGATGCCTGTATCCCTGGACCAAGGGTTTACAGACGATTGCACGCGCACATCATGTAGCTTCCAATAAAGCTTCGCTCGAGTGCTCGATCAGCACTCGACGAATCTCTCGAATCCAACAATAGCTTCGTGGTGTACGTCCATCTATCTGAAATAACCCATAAGGTCTCTAGAACAAGTACTATATAGGTACTATATATATCTATATATATATATAATATGAGTGCTGGAAACTGAACTTATTTTTTGTCTATCTTTCTTACATTTCTTCCTTTTATCGTTTTTGCAATAGCTGTTGTGTTACGTCTACACATCCGGATATATAAGCAAAAGAATTTAGTTATTTTCTTCCTAGGGACTTTTTTTATTTTTACAAATTCTTTATACTATCATATAATTTCACTGACATCGAACGTAATCTGGATCAGGGCCAACCGGATAACGCGAAGTTAAATTTTCAAGGATTTACATTCCTAACGATTATAAGTTCCTTCTTTTTCTTTTTTCTTTTTCTTTTTTTTTTTTTTTTTTTTTTTTTTTGTATGTCAAGGTAAGGAAGGTCTTAAAGTTATTTAATGCATGAGCACATTTTTAACTACAGATAACAATTATTAATCGAAGATACTGTAGATACTGTAGATACTGTAGATACTGTAGCATCTTTAAGCATAAAGCATTAAAAACATTTGGCTCCGCCTAGGAGGAGCCTAGGAGGAGCTTTAAAAGGGTTAATAATAAATAAATTTAATAATATTAAATTATTATTATTATTATTATATAGTTTCGAATTAATATTTACATTAAAAATAAAAAAAAAAAAAAACCAAAAACAGAAAAAAGAAAATATAACGCGCGATGATATTAAATAAATGTTTTATTAAGTAAGTGTTTTACGTGAAAAATATTGAATGTTCTTTTGAT